CACCCCCCTGCCCCATAATAAATATTTATGCCTTATTATTTTTTTAAGGATCCCCACCGGTGTAGTTTCAGTTTATAAAACCCCACTGTCAGACTCCAGAGCATGAAAACCGTGGGACAAGCATTTTATGCAGACCTTGCCATTTCGATACTTTTTATTGATTACTGTGGAGAGCAAGGTGAACGTTAAGAGGAACTGATGCAGTGGAAGTATAATATTTACACTGGCTAGGAGGAAAGCTTCCTCCCTGCTGTGTTCACAAATACTCTAGAAATATACAAGGAGGAGAGGAAGAAAAACAAAAACACGTCAGTGGGTCATGTTCTGTTTCTTGTCTTCCATCCTCGCTATGATTGTGTCTGTGTTTCAAGCCAAGAAGGCAGAAGACTGGTTTGAAGGACAAGATTCATCCTTTTTGTCTGTGGCAGAAATCAGGTGCACGTTTCTGAGGAAAAATTACTGAAATGCAAATATATTTGTCTCTTTGTAGGCTCCTGTCAAACTCTTCTCAAAGGAAATGAGTTTTCTTGTTTACTTCTTTCTGTCATAACTGTCTCACAGAGCACGTTTCAGTAGTTGAGGTAGAAAATTTTTATCAGACATCTAAGTCTGTTTTCAACAGAGAAGATAAAGCCAAGTCTTCTCAGGCATTGCTTGCGTGTGATCCGCTATAACTGCCCTGTCTCTTTTTACATTCAAAAAATTGTGGTTTTGTGCAGGGGGCAGATGGGGAAACGGTTCTGGTAGGCTCTGGTGAGCGTTCCCGTTACTCCCACATGTCTGTTCCAGCTCTTCCGCTGTCTGTGTGAATTCATAGCCTGGCATTTGAACTTGAGCTCTGGATGTGGAGGGGCTGGAGGGTAAGCTGGAAGTGTGAGCTGCTGGCCTTGGTTGTCTTAGCCAGCTGTGAGAATGGTGGTCTCTGTCGGTATGGAGATGTTACTGGATGCAAATCAGAGCTCATGACTGCTAGTGAGATTTTTCTGTCTAGGGAAGCATGTTTGTGAGTGCTGGCTGGCCAGAACTCTGTGTCTCTTTGCTTAGTGAGAATGAACAGCATTTGCCAGTCTTCTGCTCCAGTAACTGTTTCTCAGAGCCCTGCTGATGATTCTGGCCCTGGGTATTTTGAGTGAGGAGGGCAGAAAAAACTTCGGTATTTGTTGTCATTTCTCTTCAGCTTGTAGCCCTCTGTGACTGTTCTTGCCAAGTACCTCCTTTGCTAGAGAGGAAAATTACAGAAGCTTCTGTCCTCACTACCCAGATTATAATTCTGAAATAAAATCTCTTGCTAGGTGTGCCTTTGCCTTTCCCAGGTGCTTCTGCCCCCCTTTAAAGCTGGCTGTGCTCACTGGTTCTACTCTTCCCATGGAGATCTGAGTGCCGTTGTTCTCTGCCTTTTATATTCTGAAAAACTTCCTTTCTAAAAAGAAAAGGCACTGACTGCTAGATATTAAGTTCAAACCCACTGACAATACACTTGCTTCTATTAATTACCTTCTTGGTAATTAAGGGTTGGTCCATGTTCTCCCAGGGTGGATCTTTCTTGAGGACTGATGAAACAGAGTAGGAACAGGACTGGAGTGGATTTCAGAGTCTTAGGGCACAGGACTGGTCTGCCTGCAAACTTCTGAAGGCACTTTGTAAGGCTACAAGCTGAAAACTAGTTGCAGCTGAGGCTGTTGGAAGTGTCTTCCAGGAGGTTTGTGTGTAATTAAAACTTGGTTTCAAATCTCACTGCTGACTCGTGAGAGCAAAGTTCTAATAGAAGCTTTCTGTAGAGAGGAATGTGTTTTGAAGGTACAGGAGTGGCTCTGTAACCCCTTCAGCAGTCAAGGCAGTCAAATTTACCCTGCTTGTCAGTCCCTCAAACCTGACATGCACAAACACACAACCTCTCAGCTTCGCCCTTCTGTAGTACTTTTGATATGCATGTTAAATACTTTGTGTTTTGTATGCTTGAAGATCGAGTGCATATCTGTTGTGCATAATGGTGATCCTAATCACATTAGTTTTACTTTTGCATTTGTAAATATAAATTAAGATGCCCAAGCCTGAAAATGGGAGAGAAACATGTGCTCAGAACCTGCCTTTGATTATTGGACTGTGCTGACTGCAGCTTGCATCATGAAGAAACTTTGTTTTGCAACTAAAAAAAGAAATCCCAAGCCATTGAAAGTTATTTTCTATCTTTTTTTTTTTTTTCAAGGTTTCATCTGAGAAGCCATTCCCATGTTCAACTTGCTCACTGCTCTTTTCAGCTTCCTGTGAAACTGTTTGTCCGTTTAGTCCTTTATGCTAAGGATATATGGGTCTAGCCCTCCCCTGTATCCTTAAAAACCTTTGAATCATCAAAGAGCATTTTTTACTGATTCATATGTCAAGAACCATTAGTATGGTAGTAGTAGGACAGTGTCACTGGTAAAAACAGGTTCAGAAACTTGATTAGTGTCTGGAAGTCTTGATATGCTCTGTAGTTCTGGTGTTTTTTGTTTTTTTCCTTTCTTTTTGGAAGGAGAAAAGCTCTGCAACTTGTGTTGTACTAAGTGTTGATGAGCTTGGGAAGGAGAAGATGTAGCTGCAAAAATTTGGTCTAAGGTCTTGCTGAAGTGTTGGTTTTATCTGCAGCGTTGGGTCATTGGGATGGTTTTTTTTGTATCTTAGAACTTAATCCATTTATAGCAAGATCTGAAGAAGAGTGAAGTTGGCAGTAGCCGTCATAACTATACAGTCTTTCAGGCTTTACTTTTCACTGAATATCTGAAAAAAAGATGTGATGACTTGCTCAGGAGAAAACAACCATCCATATGTGTTTTAGTGTGGTAACCAACTGTGTCATATTAACGCTTGGTAGAATAAGAAGCTCTAAAGCTTAACCCATGCTGCTTGCTTTAGACTCAAGTTCTCTTTTGCAGCACTTTAAATCCAGGAGATGCAGTTCATGCTGCTCCTGCTCTGCTTTTTAGAAGCATGTTTAAACAGTGGAGGGCAGGGGGCTTTCCTGGCACTTGACATTATGTTCAATCCAAGTCTGTCAAACTTACATACTTGTATTAGTTGCTCTTGGGTATCTAACAGATATCTCGGTGTTTTATACAGCTACTGATTTTTGGTCCAAAGTGGGATTAAATACCACTGGAAGCAAATGACAGCAGTTTTCTCATGCTGAAAATGACATTGTTTGCAGCACAAAAAAGCCAACCAAACAAAAATGCCTTTCTTATCATTCCAGCCATCTAGAAAGTGACATAATGTTTGCTTTAGCTGTAATTTCTTTTGTAATGTAGTGGTGCTCTGTTAATTTTGTGCCATTGCAGCTTGCATCATGAAGAAACTTTGTTTTGCAACTAAAAAAAGAAATCCCAAGCCATTGAAAGTTATTTTCTATCTTTTTTTTTTTCCAAGGTTTCATCTGAGAAGCCATTCCCATGTTCAACTTGCTCACTGCTCTTTTCAGCTTCCTGTGAAACTGTTTGTCCGTTTAGTCCTTTATGCTAAGGATATATGGGTCTAGCCCTCCCCTGTATCCTTAAAAACCTTTGAATCATCAAAGAGCATTTTTTACTGATTCATATGTCAAGAACCATTAGTATGGTAGTAGTAGGACAGTGTCACTGGTAAAAACAGGTTCAGAAACTTGATTAGTGTCTGGAAGTCTTGATATGCTCTGTAGTTCTGGTGTTTTTTGTTTTTTTCCTTTCTTTTTGGAAGGAGAAAAGCTCTGCAACTTGTGTTGTACTAAGTGTTGATGAGCTCGGGAAGGAGAAGAAGATGTAGCTGCAAAAATTTGGTCTAAGGTCTTGCTGAAGTGTTGGTTTTATCTGCAGCGTTGGGTCATTGGGATGGTTTTTTTTGTATCTTAGAACTTAATCCATTTATAGCAAGATCTGAAGAAGAGTGAAGTTGGCAGTAGCCGTCATAACTATACAGTCTTTCAGGCTTTACTTTTCACTGAATATCTGAAAAAAAGATGTGATGACTTGCTCAGGAGAAAACAACCATCCATATGTGTTTTAGTGTGGTAACCAACTGTGTCATATTAACGCTTGGTAGAATAAGAAGCTCTAAAGCTTAACCCATGCTGCTTGCTTTAGACTCAAGTTCTCTTTTGCAGCACTTTAAATCCAGGAGATGCAGTTCATGCTGCTAATGCTCTGCTTTTTAGAAGCATGTTTAAACAGTGGAGGGCAGGGGGCTTTCCTGGCACTTGACATTATGTTCAATCCAAGTCTGTCAAACTTACATACTTGTATTAGTTGCTCTTGGGTATCTAACAGATATCTCGGTGTTTTATACAGCTACTGATTTTTGGTCCAAAGTGGGATTAAATACCACTGGAAGCAAATGACAGCAGTTTTCTCATGCTGAAAATGACATTGTTTGCAGCACAAAAAAGCCAACCAAACAAAAATGCCTTTCTTATCATTCCAGCCATCTAGAAAGTGACATAATGTTTGCTTTAGCTGTAATTTCTTTTGTAATGTAGTGGTGCTCTGTTAATTTTGTGCCATGCTCCATGCCTTTGCTTGCTGGCATCTGTAAACTTGTTTAAGTAAAAATGTTTCAAAATGGATCTTCCTAACTTTTTTTTTAAGTTCTGGTTTACAAATACAGAAGCTAAGGAGTAGACTTCACTACCTGAAAAAGTTCTATAAAACAATTTCTTAATAAACTTGCTGTTAGTTATCCTTGAATTAAAGTGTCAGGAAGAAAAGGCATAGTAGTGATGTGGGGAGCAAGTCTGGATAATTGAGAGTGGTGAAGAGGCTTTTCTTGCTGAACTGGGATATCCAGAAAAAGGTGTATTCAGTTGTTTAGATGCATAGTGTTTAGCTGCTATTACTTGTAACTTATTGAATCACCTGTGCTTGGTTCCCTCAAATGGGACATAATTGCATCAGGGAACACTGATTGGTCACTACTTGGTCCGTGTGTAAGAATATATGAAGGGCTGTAAAACTTTTTTGTATTCCTCTCTGCCCCAAACAGAGCGTTTGCTGAAGATGACCTTGGAAGAAAGGCGCAAGGAGTACTCAAGGGAATATGTTGCATTGAAAGCTATTCCGACGTGGATGGAAGACTTAAAAAGTAAAAGCGAAAACGACGGTAAGAGAAATAGGAATATTTTTAAATGAACCGTTCTGCTTCCTCTGTCTGAAGTTATTTCTAGGAGGGATGAGTCTTAGAATCAGTGTTGTTACTGGCAGTGGTAGCCTAACATGGGGACGAGTACTTTGTGGGAAGGGAGGGAAAAACCCAACAAAATTTCTTAAAGCCTTGTTGGTGTCCTCAGATTCTGTGGCAGAGTCCTAATAATACTGATACCCTTAACTGTGTAAAATAGTGGTTGTCTTAATTTCCAGATACTCCAACAGTTGGCCACGTCTAATGAAATTTGTCTGTGAAACTTAGTGAGCGTAACTAACAGTACAGGGACTCTGAACAAAACGGTGTTCTTGCAGGTGCCTGAAAAGCAGAGGGGGAGTGTGTTAGTTGTGTTCTTTTCTAAAAATCCCGAAGTGGGTGAAGATTGGATTTGGAGTTTCTCTTGAGAACTGCAGTTCATACTCATGGACCTGCCTACCCTCTTGGGCTAAGGGCTATCAGCCTGACCTCAGTTAACTCCTCTTCTCTTAGAATGTGCAGTGTTACCACAGTTATCACCAGTAAAATTGTGTGAGTACTTGCAGTGAGGGCTGACCAAAAATAAGAACCTGGTTCACTTTCACTGAACTCTGTATTCTGTAATCAAGTAATTGAATTCTAACACTAATTCTTTAACAGTGCCTCATTCTCTGTCTAGTTCTCTTTCAGCCACAAAAGTGTGTGTGTAGTGAGGGACTTTTTTCGAGCTGGTTTTGTCCTCTTTTTTTTTATGTCTTGTTATCGTACTTGGATGAAGAGTATTGTTTTTTTGATTCTTGTTGAGTTTTTTTGTTTGCCTTTTTTTGAGAGGGCTCGAAATAGGACACCTAAAATGCTTTCTGCTTCTGTAGATAGAGGATTAGTTTTCTGACCCTTTTGTTGTCATTAAGGGCAAATACTGACCCTCCCATGTGAACAGATGTGTAAGGTAGTTTTGTGTCTGCAGGTGAACATGGTCTTTATGATAATTCTCCAGGTGAAATGAGGCCTGGAGCTAATCACCTGTTTTCAATAAAATGGAAAAGCTGTAACACCTTTTTTTAGCACAATCTGGAGGAGATGACAGATTTGCAGATGCTATTGTAATAAACAACTAATGCTATTGTCTACTCCTAAAAGGATCTTTAATGACTTTGAAGTGAAAATGTCACATTGCTGAGCTCTTCAGTGCTGTTGAGTAGTTGTATTGCAACTGTATCTGTAGACCTCTTTCTCCTATTAAAGTAGGTCTTTTATATCTTACAACATAAGGAAGCTTGTCCATCTAGAAAACAAAGGCTGCATAAAAATAAAAAATTACCTGACTTCTCCAAAGTTCATTTTGAAGGCCTTCAATTCATAGGGATATGCAGTGTATCATGTGTAGGCTCTCTATCTGTTCTAGCCTAAACTATGTTTTTATTCTGACTACTCTCAAGTTCTGTATAACATGCTAAAAATTCCCAGATCTTGTATTAGTTGGGCTGCTGAATATGACAAGGTGTGGATTTATGTTGGGATTGCTGTTACACTTCCCATAAGCAAAATGTTGGTATCTAATATGTGGGTATTGTAGTAATGGTGGATTTCTTTTCTTGTAGTTGCTCTTGCATTCTTTTTGTTAGTACCCAGTACACTGCAAAAAATGCTGGAAGGCAAAAGTTGTGCTGAAACACACTTTCTTCTGTGCTACTTGAAGCTTTTGTTAGACTGTACATTCAGGAGAAAATATCCATAGTCACTTCTTTTCTTTTATGTGCTTGTTGTAAATAAGCCATGTGGAATAGTGAACTAGAGGGTTAGGATACTGAAATGCCTCTGCACTTCAAGTGATCAGTGCAATTTAAAGAAATACATATATATAAATGTGACTGTTACTGCATCTGAAACTTTATTTTCTTTAAATGTTGACCCTGCTCTGAAGGTGTAAGAGGTGTCTTTTTTTACTAGAAATACTGAAAAAATTAGGATTTAAATCTTGTTGCTGATGAGAACTGAGACATACTGAGGGCAACTGGTGCAACTTAAATGAGATTCTTGAGAGAGCAAGTTAAGCCAGGTATGATGAAGCTGGTGATGACTTGACAGTGCCATACCCAAGTTCTGATATTCTTTTCAAGTGAAAGGCTGCTTCTTGCAGTGACAAGCTAAAGAGGTCTAGAGGGGGGAGATAAATACTCTGTAGGCCTGACAAACCAAAACAGCAATTGATGAGGAATGTGGAAAAAGTTCTTTACCATTTGCTTCCATCAGTGTATACAGTGAAAAAATGAGAGATTGATTAGTAAAGTGTGGAGTGGCTGTTCAGGAAGAGTGATGAGGAGAAATCAAGAAAGGAACCAAGAACAAATAAAGTGAAGCAGGTGCAATCAATCAGCTGCTGCAGTAAGAAGCTGTAGGAGAAGGGGGCAACATCTGGGCTGGCAGCAGTCCCCGTAGATACTCAACTGAAGATTAAGGGTGTTTAGTACTGCACACATTTTTGTACTGACTGTTAGGAAAAATTGCATGAACAATACAAAAGCTTTATGGTACTCATTTTTAAATGTGAATGACTCACTGGAGGGTGTTAGGAGATTCCAGTTAGGCACACATTTTTGTTATATGGAAATTTAGCAGAAGGTTATTGAAAAGTCTGTGCCAAACAGTGGGAACTGAAATGACCCAGAAGCTTAATGTTGGGAAGGAACCAACCTGACCACCGTGATACCTCTGCATGCTCCTCATTGACGATCTTGAAGAATGTACCTTAGCTTGTGGAGGAAAGTGTTTCTTTTCTTCGCTTTGGTATGCAATGGTGTTCAGAACTGAGTTCTGAAGAAAACTATTAAAGCTTGGACTAAGCTGATGTTAAGGTGAGTTTTGGCAAAGCTGGAAGGCTTTATAACAGAGGGAAGTGTAATGTAGTGGCTTCTGAGGAGTGAACTTAGGGAATTCTGAAGGGCAGCTGGCAAGGGCATTGTCTTTTTTTTATAACAGCAAAGGTGTTTGAAAATACTTGGAAGTTGAAAGCAGCTGTATGTTGTTTTTGTCTTTGTTTTGTTTTTCTGTGACTGAAACAAAAACCTAGGGTTTTTGCAGGTCTCCTTATATGGATGTGACAAGGAATTAAGTTAGTGTGTATCCTGGCATGAAATTTTGCCAATATTTCTGATACTCCGGATTTCTTTTTTTTTTTTTTTTTTTTTTCCTGTGAATGAGTGGGAGCAATGTGAATTGTGGGAACTAGGCCTAGGGCCTGCAGGAAGCCACCTGATGTGAGCATGTTCATTTCCAGAAATGTTGTGTTGTAAACATCCCTGTGCTTTGGTGTACATCTTGCTGGGCTGCTTGAGTGGACCTCAGAGAGCAAATATCAGTTCCTTTTCCTTGCACTGCTGTTACTGACAGTTGGTCCTCTTCAATCCTGGAGCATATGGTAGGAGTGGAAACAAGTTCTTGTTCTTGAAGTAGTTGTGTAAATATAAAAGCTTCCTTTGTTTTTACCACATTTATTAAGGAAATTAGGAGCTGTCCACTTCAGAAATGAAGAATAATCTTGTAATGCAGGGCTGGGTAGCACATATGTATAGTAAGTCATTGTTCTTCCCACTTCCTATCCCTCAAACATATCGAAGATAGATACATCTCGTATCTTCTGTTATGTTCTTCAAAGCAGCTTTCCCCCCTGCCAGTATGCAAATAGTGGACTTTTTTTTTTTTTTTCCCCTCTGGAGTTTGTATATCTTTATTTAAGTGCTATTTAATATATACCACTTTATGCTAGACACTCATCATGTACAGCCGTACTTATGTTTTGTGATGCTTGGAAAAAAATGCCACTGTGTAGATTAATAATTAAGAGAGTTTTTTTGAAGTTAAATATGTATACTAGCTTTTTCTTGGGTTCATAGTTATTCCCAAAGACGTATTTACTCTTCAGTGGGAATGTGAGAGATGACTTCAGAAAACTTTCTTGAAAGCTTTTTGAAAAGTCAGGGTCTTGGGAATTCTATTGTCACAGAGTTTTGTGTGTCACAGGTAGAGAAGTGTTTTGTTGCATTAATGGGATAATTCAGAAAATGGAATAAATTAGGTAGGTAAACTCAAGGCAGCTGACAATCCTGCTTACTTTCAGAGGCTCTGGGATTCATTGGGATAGCAGTGGTGCCAAGAAAATAGCAAATTCAGGTGATAGTTTGAAGATCTTTTCTAACGGTAAGAACTACTTTTGGATGAAGTCACAATGGATGGACACGATAACTGTTTTTTATTTTTAAGATGAAGGGACATTAAAGGTCTGCAGGCTCGCTTTGTTTTTTTAAGCAAGTGTCTTAAGTATGTTTAGATGTTTTGGCAGCCTTTGGATTTTCTTAATCTGCTGTATTTTTAGAAAATAATATGGTTCAAACTGTATTCAAATTAATCTACTTTAACACTGAGGGATTTATGTATAATAATGAGGTTTAGATTTAAAAAATTGCCTTTGTACTACAAATCTGTAGCTTTCTAAATATTCACAGTGAATTGACACAAGTTAATAAGGACGAAGTGTCTAGATGAGCCACTCAAAATGCTTCATGCTGCAAAGAAAAAGTGTAATTATAGGGAGCTCCACTGACCAGCATTTCTTGAAATGGTTAACTAACCACAGGTAATACGGGGGCTCCGCAGGCCATTTCTGTGTGTCCCTGTTTGATGCCATGTGATCTTTCCTGGAGGAACCAGGTTTCAAAGTGATTCTCATCAAGCAGCCTTTGGAAAGTAGTGCCATTACTTAAGCTGCAGCCAGATGTCTACAAGTGAGAAATAGCATCTCTCTAAACAACTTGTTATTTTCAGTTATACAGAAAAAGAAATAATGTTCTACTAGAACATCAAGATTGTTGCAAGTTGCCCAATAGTCAAGGAGTTAGCTTTGTAGCAGCTTTGTGAAACCAGTACACTTTAAGACCTTTCCCTCACCAAAAAACCTCCATCAGCTTGCATTATTTTTTTTTCCT